ACATGGGTCGTAAGATATGATAACGTCCCAAGAAGTCTAACTTTTCGTTTTCACCCTGTATCTCAGAAACAAACGTAGCTAGATTAATTCTGTTTGTGGCATTAAAAGTTTCACAAAAAAAGGGGCAAAGTGTGGCGAAAACCGCAAGTCTCTATCTTTAAAATTAGCCAAGATACACTGCAAATGTTTCAAATTATCCTGATAGAATTCTTTTGTTTTTATAAATATGAATAAACCACTTGAATTGGAGCATGGTACAATAAGACAAGCTATGCCTATGCGCATGTGTTCGTGACGTCATTGGGATAACCTACCACTCAATAAAGTAATGAGGTTTTTGTAGTCCTACCACTTAGTAAAAATGTATCGCCTTTACAGATATGATAAGGTTTGTTCAACCCATGTCAACCACGTTAAGTTTCTCAAATTAAACTTATCAATTATTGCATGCGAGATTGCATGTTATCAATATAAATGTTTATAGTTAAAATAAAAGTAAGTAAAAATAGTATCCGCGTTTCCAAATAGGGATGAGACCTCTAGCGGCAATAAAAAGAACTTAAAAGTCTGATTGGATTTCTAAAGTAATATAATAAGTGGCACGAATAGCTTATTTTAAAAAATGATGACTGCATCCAGTATGATTACCAACAATAAAGGTCATCTTAATCTGTTATCGCACAAGATTTTTAAGGATTTAAAATGTGTCCAGTGCAATTTTCCAACTAATTATAATTATGCATCGAGTTTCAATAAGTGTCTGTTAATGTACAGGAATTCCAGGTTGCAAAATGTGCAGTGTGTGATTTTACAACCAATTATAAATCCATTTGTTGAAGTAGAAAACTTACATAAATATAAAACGAGACATAAAATGTGTTTAGTGCTCGGCTTAGTGCTACCAATAGTAAAGGGAATTTTAAAAATCATCTTTTTACCGTGACACACAAGACTACCAAGGATTTAAGCTGCGCCCCACTTTAATTACGGAACCAATAATACTTCTCGCTTTAAAATACATTTGCTAACCCACAATACATTGAGAGCCTCAAAATGCGATCTGTGTGATTACGCGACCAATATTATTAGATCTAATTTTAAAGTGCGCTTGTGGGTTTAAAATGTAGCCAATGTAATTTTGTAACCAATATTAAAATTGATAGACGTTATTAAGGCCGTATTAGACGATGCAATTTTTATTGCAATTTTTGCAGCAATTCATTGCCGCAAGAAATTGCACGAAAAATTGCTCCGTGTATGTTAAAATTGCACGTGCAATTTCTTGCACCAAATATTGCAGCAAGACATTCTGCAATTTTCTGGTTATAGAACTTGTGCTATTTTTCTTGCAATTTTTCTTGCAATTTAGTAACTATTTTAGTAACATTTAATTTATAAAAAAAATAAAGTGGTATGCACTGGAGAACATTACCTCCTTATGCTATATACAGGTTTGTTATTTAAAGTTAAAACTGAAATAACCTATTTACGAGGAATTCAAAAATGGATATTGCTGCCGCATCTTTAGTTATTGCGTCTGCTGTTGCTCTTTTAAAAAAAAAGAAACAAAGAAGACGACGACATTTTTGGACCAGGCAGTGGCTTGCCAATAACGATTTCACAAAGGGAAACCTAAACCTACTCAATGAATTTAACGAACCTGATGGCCGTTTACACCGACATATTTAAGCCGGGCTTAGCTTAAGCGTACCTTAAAATCCATGGCAACCATTGTCTCAATAATCGTTGCCATGGATTTTAAGCTACGCTTAAACTAAGCTCCACTTAAATTTGTCGGTGGAAACGGCCATGAGTGTGAATAAGTGCGTGCAAATATAAATAATAAATTGCACGGCCTTCAACAAAGGAAACGTCACAAAACACACGTTTCCTGGTCTACAACAGACGTGAAGTTGCTTTCAAGTATTTCCCAGTGATGCCAATTCCACTTTCATTGGCACCAATACATGATTAGAATTGGGTATAAAAAAATTGCCAAATAAATTGCATAGTGTAATCATTGCATCTTTTTACAATAATTGCTGCAATAATAGCAGCAATAGTTGCTGCAAGGATTGCAATAAAAATTGCATCGTCTAATACGGCCTTTACACACACAAATTGCAATGGCACGTCTAATTCAAGTATGAATCATCACTGCAGGGTTGCCAACTTGGGCGATTTATCGCAAAATGGGCGACACAAAATCCAAAAAAGCTCCCATTTTTTAACATTTATGATATATCGCAAATTGGGCGACTTCGAAAACCCTTACGGGAACTTCTTACATTTAATTTCTCTCATTCTCATTAGGGCGTAGTATTTACATGCGCGCATATCAGTTGTTTTATTGTTATCTGGTGTGCTACCTTTAGCTATCTGTGCAGATGGGATTTTTTAATATGAAATAATTCAATTTTATTTTGTTGTTTTATTGTGAAATTTATTTGGAAAAACCTTGCGATTTTGGACCATTTGGGCGATACGTGTGTAGGTACTAAAAGTTGCCAACTCTGGATTCTGGAAGCGTGTGCCATTTTCAAACTTGACGGTGATTCTTGTGACGCCAGTGGGATAAATAGGGCGCTGTATTCATATAGGCATACTCGTCCGCCATTTTGGTTCTGGTGATTTTGGTAAATTTTGCTGTTTTTATGGATTATTTATGTTCCCTTCGTCAAGAATATGTAATTTATATCTACAAATAAAATTGACTTATTTCTAAACAGACCTGATGGGGAGTAATTGATTACATGTTAGCCCCAGTAATTATAACTTTACTTTTATTTTTTTCTTGTAATAAAAGTACTAGTCCTAGCTAAGACACTAAATAAAAGGTAAATTGTAGGCCCTACTCCCAGTTTAGGAGTAATTTTAAAAAGACCAATCATCTAAATACATTGTAACTTTATAGTAAATTGAATTTACCCGCTACCCCTTTATTAAGCGCCTTAGGAATACATTTGTCATCTGCGCGAACTTGCCGAATTTTCGTCCCCTATAGGCGTACCTTGTCTTGTTGTACCTGGGATTCGAGCAGGATCTTCACAGTTTCATAGCATTAGCAAAATAATTTTCAAGTGTTTGGTTATCGAATTATAGTAACATATCTGCTTAGGCACGGAATTGATCTCGACAACCCCGGACCAGCCGGTTCGACAAGTTCACTATTGGCCGCTGCCGCTCAGCAGGGCTACACGCTTGACGGAAACACTTTGAGTTCGCTTGGAAATCTGTCCAGTGGATTGTCCGTGAGTGTTGCTGCTAACTACAGCGATTCCGGAGACTCCACCGGTGCCAGATCAACGGATAACGCTACACCTCCAATGCATTTCCTTACTCCTCATGTAGAAATTTCGATGGCCGATGCACCTGCGCCTGTATTTTCGCCATCTTTGGTATTTTTTGCAAACTTTTAAACCGCGGTTTAATTTGGGCTTTTAGTGTGATCAACAAAGAACGAATGCAGAACCAGGTCAAAGTAGTCATTCCACGCAAAGAATGAATGGCGAATGTCCTAGCTCACCTCAGTCGGCCGACTCAAATTCCAATGCTCCGTCCAGTAGCCATATTCAACCGAGCTCTCTGCGGCTTGACCAAGAAACAAGTATTACTCCATCAATATCGTTAATTCCAATTAAACAAGAACCAAACGAAGAAAGCTACGGAAATAAGCGAAATGGTACACAAACTGGAAATGTACAGATGCAAACGGCAACTTCAAGCAGTCTAAGCTCGCTGATCAAAGTGTCTCCACTCAAGAGTCTACTGAGAGAAGATTTAAAGCGCAAAATTGTTAACCGCAATTACGTATCGGGAAGAGGTCGTGCCACTGCTTCTCCCACCTCTCATCCGGAGAGTTCTCCAAGTGATCCGGCGACAACAACCAATGGAACGATAACATCAACAGGTCTGGATCAACCTTCTGATTCGTCTGTTTGGCGGTTGGGTGGTAAACGTTTGTTATCAAATTTACAATGTATTTATTGTGGTATCGGATTTCCCGATCAAACCTTGTATTTTTTACATAAAGGTTGTCATTCGGACGCGAATCCGTGGAAGTGTAATATATGTGGGGAGCAATGTTGTAATGTCTATGAATTTAATTCACATTTACTAAGTAAGAGTCATCAGTGACAATGTTTTTTTTAAGGAAAAGTACAAACTCCAAAGTTTCATTAAAAAAAGGTATACTTCATGGTTGTGAATAACAATTAGAAAATGCTGTTTTATACAAGAGTAGTTCATTAACCTTGTTGATATTACGCAATATTTGCTCAGTGTAGCTACCAAGCATCTAAAAAGTGAAAAATTGCTCAGAGTTGCCACAAGTGTTACACTTATTTAGTATAGATATAATTATTGGGAACACTTGCAAACATTTGTCGTCGCTGCAGTAAAACAATCTTCACAAACACCACAAACAAAATTTTGCAGAGTAGCCGTTGGTAATTTGAGTACATTTTGTTCGTTTACCTATCAGTCTTCCAAACCTAATTTAACTCTGTCATTCTCCGTTGGCATGTTCTTTCTCCACTGTGTTGTTATCCTAAATCTTTACTAGACTAATTTGTTAATATCGCTCATTATAACCACTTAGTGGTTGTTAATACGCGCGTAATATTTCACTATTAGCCATACATCACTTTTAGATCTCTCGATTTGAAACAAGTGAGTACATGTGCAATTCCGCAGGTACATTCTAAGCATGATATTAAATGATGTATTCGACATTATTTATAAATTAAAAAATGGGGCTGTGTAACAGTTGATATTAAATTCGCCAGCAGCTGATTTTGTAACGAAAACATTCCATAAATTTAAAGTGCCTCTTTGATACTGTCGATAAAATCTAGAGAATTGTAATTGGCTCCGATGATCCGTCCATTGTTATAAATTTTAAGAGAATTATATATATTTAGAAATTAAGAAATATATTTACAATCGGGTAGATATCATAGTATATATATAAATAAATATTACATTTTTGTTGTTAGGCCTGTACAGTTTTAAGATTTAAATTTTTATCGTGTAACCTTGTTTTGAATAAAGCATGACTCTAGATATGACAAGTTTGCAAATATTTTTGATAGTCATATGGTCAAGACAGGAATGTCCGAGTAAGTTCGTATGTAAACTTTTTTTATACATATTGTTGATCTAGTTCGTAATATTATTTTTTTAAGAGAACCTACATTCCAATGGTGTATTTTATTTTTGCTATAAGAGGAAACATAATTATGTACAGTATTTATTAATTTTATTTTTTAATTGCTTGTGTTGCTGTTCAATTTTATAACATCTACTAATGTGCAATACTTTTACAGCAACAAAATTACCTACTTGAAACATTCCATTTGAAATGTACTTGCAGTAATACCTTGTGTGGTATTTAGCATTGCCTTTTAGAGTGCCTTAAAAAAGAAATATACAAATTTTTAAATGTTGCATACCTACAAGGCAATCAATTTTATATGAAAGGTTATTGCTTTACTTTATAATTTTTATAAAAAAATACTGTTAACGTATGTAATTGTTTAGATTTGCTGTTACGTACATTGTGATTATCAAAACGTTAAACCATACCAAACTATTTATTGTTATTTATATAAATAGTTTTTAAAGTGCGCTATATATTTGCATTTATTGGTGAAAGGGATAAATAAATGAATTGCATTATCTATTGTTTCAATCTGGCTTTATAATATTAATATGGTAGATGGGAGAAAACACAGATGGCTTCTTTTTGTCTCTACCTTCAGTCTAATAATTTATTTTAATTTCAGTTTCTGACATGTCATTGAATAAAAAATTAATTTTTATTAATGCTTGTTCTAAAGAGTGGAGAGGTTCCACCCTGTATATATAACCTACTATGATGCACACATTTGTGAGAGCTGGCAACCACGCAATTTTTAGAAGGGAGAATTAGTCTGTGCCATCTCGAAAACACCAAGGCTTGCTATGTAACTGAATCTTGGCATCAACTTTCATCATGAAAGCGTCGTGCAGTTTAAGTTTATTGTTATTTTTGTGTTGCTTAATGTAGGTATAGTAATCTTTGCATTTATTTATAATTGATTTGTGTTTTGTATGCAACATTTTATAATTTTTCATCTGTTTTTGAAATTGATTTGGTTTAACCTCAATGCATAATCACGTATTTGATACCGTTAACATTTATTGTTTGAAATCGCATTCATTTTTGTGCGTAGTTTGCTACATTTTTATTTGTTGCGATATATGGTCCCAACTTAGATTTATATTTTTTATCATTTTTGAAAATGTGGAAACTATTGAATTGTTTAAAGTTTGATGTGTATTTGTGGACTGACTTATTTTTTGTAAACTAACATTTCACCGTGAAGAGACGGTCATTGGGGTGGTATAAAACTGTAATCACTTTGAGTTACGACACCCTATGCGTGGACTGTTCCAGAACTCAACTATAGTTTGGGAACTCCCGAAACCAGGGTCCATGTTACCCGTTTAAGGGCTCAGACTCTATTAACACAAGACTCTTCAGTTTAGAATCTATGTGCGACATATGATCCAAGGTCGTATCATTTTCCTACTTGCTTTTAACAGAAGGGTTTTATTGCACCAAAGATGAATCACCTATTGTACTGCTTCCTTGTGGTCCGACCAATCAGCTCCTAGAACCATTCAGATGACAACGAATTGGCAATATTGTAGATCAGAAATAAAAATGAAGCCGGGATGCCTCCATTGCAGCCTTTCCCACTAAGTGACACGACACAGCAGCAAAACGACGCGTCACAAACCAAGCGGTTCCAGAAGCGTCGCTTAGTGAGAACTGAAAAGCAGCAAGTTTTAAATCTTCTGAGCATAAAGAATAAAAATGCTCTAAAAAAATTGCTCAATTCAGAAAATTGCATCTGCGCATGACCGAGCTTCTCCATTTACAAATGTTGGGGGTTTATAGGCGAGTAGCATATTCGGATGTGGCGCCGTCTGGTGGCGAATTTAACATAAGATGTGGTGAAACAAGTTCGTCGACCGTTTATTACTGTATTAATATTTACAAGCTTACTCCAAATAAAACAACAATTATGACTTCAAAAAACACCTTTCGTTCGTCCAAAGTTTCTTGTTGTGTTGTTGGATTACTTCGTACATAAATACGGACTCTTCTATAAAATTCTACAGCTTTCCCAACAGACCACATGAGTTGCAAAGAAGAGAAAATTGGATAAAGAAAGTGAGAAGAGTGTAAGTACACATCTGTTTTGCTATTATTTTACATAGTTTCGTCTCCAGAACGGCCGTTTTTTTGTAATTTTTCTTTTGTAGAAGAAGGAAAATCCAAAACAAGCAAGGAGTGTCAATGGATTAAACCATCCACTTTAAAAGCTGCTCAGGGAAAATACTCCAAGGAGAAAAGAATGAGTGAAATGTTTGTTCACAAAGACTCGAAGAGAAAAAAATTTGATCCTGTTTGTCTAACTCATGTCATCGTTTCCAACGCATTTATCAGCAGTATTCACAATTTGACTTAATGGAACAATGTTAGCCTGTACTCCCACACAGTTATTTTCAATTTCACAAACAAAAACGAAACTCGTATCAGTTGGCTCTTGAAAGTTGACTTGACAACTCACGTCCTTTGGGTTATCGTCAGTCCCTTGAGACACGACTTCAGCTTCTTGAAATTCAGTTGAACTTGAAGGTAAGTCAGACGAAACATTTAATTTCCGTTTCTTGAAAGTTCCATAACGTTCAAATCGTTTGCTTGCATCTGCACCCAGATTTCGTGTTTGTTTGTACGTCTAGAAGAAAATAAAAGCCATTAAACAATAAAAATGTGAAGCACTTGTCTTTACTGATTTACCTTCGGAAAAATAGAGGGATTATATGATGGATTGGTGGCAATATTTGATTTTGCATTTCCGACAAAATGCGAACTACATATTCGATCTGTTTTTTTAGGAGTCCATGGTTTTCCATTTTCAGTTCTAATAACAAACGTGCAAATTAGTTCGTGAACACGATTTCTGTCTACAGAAACACCATTTTCCACTTTTCACCCACCAAAGAATATATTAAATATTCTTTGGTGGGTGAAAAGTGGAAAATATCAGAAAACCATCTACACAACAAGGGAGGGATCCCTTTTAATAGCTTGATCATAACCTCAAATTGAATTATTGCACACAAAAGAAAAATTACTAAAAAACGGCCGTTCTGGAGACGAAACTATGTAAAATAATAGCAAAACAGATGTGTACTTACACTCTTTTCACTTCCTTTATCCAATTTTCTCTTCTTTGCAACTCATATGGTCTGTTGGGAAAGCTGTAGAATTTTACAGAAGAGTCCGTATTTATGTACGAATTACTGCATCCAACAACACAACAAGAAACTCTAGACGAACGAAAAGTGTTTTTCGAAGTCATAATTGTTGTTTTATTTGGAGTAAGCTTGTAAACACAGTAATAAACGGTCGATGAACTTATTTCACCACATCTTATGTTAAATTCGCCACCAGACGGCGCCACATCCGAATATGCTACTCGCCTGAGTAAAAACGTTGAGCACATATATGATTCGACATTTTTGAAAACATGCAACGGCTAATTTTGTTTTGATTGTGACAACATTGTAAAATCCGCTTCGGATTAATTTTGACATTTGTCGTGAAGTTGTATTGGTTATCTACGTTTACTTTTGGCGCATGTTTTGCAAATTAATATATATTATTGTAAATTTTTTTGTGTTTACTCTAAAAACTGTTTAAGTCATTATTATATAAGTATTACTTTCTATAATAGCTCATATAAGAAGAGAAAACCAATTTCAACAGGTTGCTTACCCTCATAACCTTTAACTGGCCTGAACTTTGGAGTTCTAATGGCTGGAAAACGGATTGCCACAAGTGATCTAAATCACACGAACTGGGAGCAAGAAGATGAACCAGAAGAAGCTGGAAGTTTTTCAAAAGCCTCCGAGGATATTTTAAAAAATAGAGTAATTAAAATTGCGAAGCGAAGGAACCCCATCGGTAGTTTAGCATCGGTATGTACTTACTTGCGCTATTAACAGTAATTTACGTAGTTTTTCACTTTAGTCAGATGACGAGAAGAAAACCACCTTTGCGAATTTTGGGGGATTTATTAAACCAAGCACCACGTCGAACACACAAGCATTCAGTTTTCTAGCAAATTTACAAAATAAATCTGAGGACCATCCAAAAAGCAATGGCCTCGATGGTTCAAAAACATGTAATAAACCAACAGAAAAAATGAGTATACCTCCTGTTCAAAGTGAAAGTGAAAATTCGGGTAAACCTAAAGAATATTACGCTAAAATAAAAGGTTTAAATCAAAGTGTATCAAAATGGATTAAACAACACGTTGATACAAACCCATTTTTAAATTTAACTCCCATATTTAGAGATTACGAAAAATACTTGGAAGAGATTGAAAGTTTAAATATGCAGTGTGAGAGCAATAAAACGAAGGAAACAGCTAAAGTGTTTAAAGCAGCATCGTGTGAAAAGCTACCGGACGCATCAGAAAAAAAAACCTCCCTTCAATTCGGTGCAACCAATTCAAGTACGATGACTTCTAATTTATTCACATTTGGAAAGTCAAACGTCGAATCGTCTAGAACAGGTTTTATTTTTGATAATACTCCAAAACCATTTGCAATGGCAACCGAGGCACAAAAGGAGGAAGCGAACGAAGAAGACGAAGACAATCCGCCAAAAGTTGAATTCACGCCTGTAGTTGAGGAAGATCATATTTATACAGTTCGATGTAAAGTATTTGTAAAAAAAGATGAAGAGTTTGGTGATCGCGGGGTTGGTAATCTGTTTCTTAAACCTATACCCGATAGTGACAAAGTTCAATTAATCGTCCGTGCAGACACTAATTTAGGTAATCTTCTGTGTAATTTTATTTTATCGAAAAGTATTCCCACACAACGTTTGGGCAAGAAAGATGTAATGTTAATGTGCATGCCGACACCTGAACACAAACCACCGCCAGTGCCAGTTTTATTCAGAGTCAAATCATCGGAACAAGCCGACGAGTTGTTAAAGATATTAGATAAACACAAAAAGTGATTTAGAATGGTGCAGAATTCTATTTCGATTTTAATTTAGTATGTTTGTTACATCATTACTAATAAATTCATTCTAGTAATTAATAGTATGTTGTACTCTTTTGTAGTGTAAAATGTGACCGGCAGAAGCATTAGTCTAATTCAGCCATATTCGACCTTTTTATTTCTCGGGTCGCAGGTTGAATATCGCTGATCTACTCCCTAAACTTCATGGCAAGGCTTTCATTTGTTATGAATTGCTCTGAAGAGCAAAATGCTTTTGTAAATTGAGGATTGTCTGCAGATTTTTTGTCTAATACAATCCTTACAGTTTTTAGCGCATTTTTGGTAACAAAAAGGAGCTTATCATTTCACTTTGTCCGGCTGGCTGGCTGGTTGGCTGGCTGGCTGGCTGGGCGGATTGAAAAACTTTTGATCTAGACATCGTAGAGAGGTCCGGTTTTTTGCATTATCTCCGTCTTGTCGAGTTATTGGCGCAATGGACATTCATTAAGCCCGTAGTGGTTGCGTTTAATTAGAATTTGCGAAATAACTAACGCCGCTTGAAAATTTGTCCGTGCGTATATCGATTTTAAGCCGATCCGATTGACGTAGAGGAATGGCTTTTTTATAAAATATACTTTTGGCATTGCCTAACTACGGTCACTAATATGACTTATCTAGGATAACTACTTCAAGGTGAAAACTAATCAAAATCATAACACGGTGATGAGTTTTTCAGTTTGTGGTATAATTTTGGTTAAAAATATCGTATCCAGGTCTGAGCGGTTTTTAGCGTAACACAACGAAGTTGAGGTAACGCTTATGTGCTCGTGTTTCCGTCTGTCCGTCCGCCCGTCCGTCCGTTCCATCGAGATCTCGGCCCCTGGGACACCTAGAGACTTCGGGTTTTCGCTAATTGATAGCTGCTATGATCTATATTTGCCCATTTCAGACAGTTTTATTGCACTCTCTATTTTGCGCAGACTGCGCATTGCCAACTTTCTTATTTATGGAGATATTTCTTGGAAATTTTAACCACAGATGCTTCTAGTAAAGGCAAACATTTCACACATAGTAAAAATTATGTAGACATGCGCAGTAACTGCGCAATGCGAACTTTCCTATTTATTGAGATTTTTCTTTGAAATTTTAACCACAGATGCTTCTAGTAAGGGCAAACATTGCGCACATACTAAAAATTATGTGTGCGCATGCGCAGTCCCTGCGCAATGCCAACTGTGCTATTTATGGAGATATTTCTTTGAAATTGGAACCACAGATGCTTCTAGTAAAGGCAAACATTTCGCAAATAGTAAAAATTATGTGTAGGCATGCGCAGTGACTGCGCAATGCCAACTTTCTTATTTATGGAGATATTTCTTTGAAATTTTAACCACAGATGCTTCTAGTAAAGGCAAACATTTCACACATAGTAAAAATTATTGTAGACATGCGCAGTGACTGCGCAATGCGAACTTTCCTATTTACTGAGATTTTTCTTTGAAATTTTAACCACACATGCTTCTAGTAAAGGCAAACATTGCGCACATATTAAAAATTATGTGTGCGCATGCGCAGTCCCTGCGCAATGCCAACTTTCCTATTTATGGAGATATTTCTTTGAAATTGGAACCACAGATGCTTTTAGTAAAGGCAAACATTTCGCAAATAGTAAAAATTATGTGTAGACATGCGCAGTGACTGCGCAATGCCAACTTTCTTATTTATGGAGATATTTCTTTGAAATTTTAACCACATATGCTTCTAGTAAAGGCAAACATTTCGCAAATAGTAAAAATTATGTGTAGGCATGCGCAGTGACTGCGCAATGCCAACTTTCTTATTTATGGAGATATTTCTTTGAAATTTGAACCACTGATGCTCCTAGTAAAGGCAACAACTTGTTGATTGCAGCGTTATCGGAAATCGGGGATTTCATTGAGGCAACTGAAGACGTCTTGATTATGGGAGACTTTAATTTCCCATTAACTGTCGGAAATCGGGTAGAGAAATTTCTTCAAGAGAAATTCAATATAGTGATCATCTCTCCCCGAACAGTGACAACGAATGGCGGAACAATAATTGACAGAGTTTTTGGCAAAATGGTCAACTACACTGTTGATTGTTCGGTTTACGAGTCGTACTGTTCATACCATCGTCCAATTATTATTAGAGTTCGTGAAAATTAATAAAGAAATATATGTTTGCATATACCTTATTTTATAATTAAAATTTTCTGATAAAATACTGATTGCTAATGCAATACTGATCCGTCACGCCAAAAATGCGCTGAAGTCTCATCGATGCACATACGAGGACTTTTGTAATTTTTTATTGTGTAAAACGCATAAACGCCACGTGAGTGCAACACGATGAGATATACCTACTCTACCTCTACCCATCTCTCTTGTCACGGTACCCTTGCAACAGTTATCTACGGGCGATGCCGTTCCATGTACGAGTATCTAGTTGGCCTTGATAATATTTTCAAAAATTAGTGAGAACTATTAAATTTATTATTTCCATAATATTTCCAAAATAAATGTATTATATTATTATGGTAGATACTGATTCGCATGCTCTTTTGTAAGGAATTATGCAGTCTGTATAGTGATGCATGAAGCCAAATAGCTTGATGATCTTCATATTACTCGACGTGACTTGAAAATCATGTATGCTTACCTATTTTAAAGACTTTTAATACTTGACTTGATTTTCAAGCCGTCCTACTTGACATGGTATCAAGTACTTTGAACTAGTTGGTTACTCGATATAGGTTAATAATGTAAAGTTAAAATATAGCCCGTCTACGAATTGAAACAGAAAAATTTCATAGGTGTAGAAAATACAAAAACCGTTGACTAGTAATTTACGTAGGTATAGCATTCCTCGATTGCTGGGGTTGTAAATTTTATAGAAATTTCTTTCTTTCTACATTTGCGCGTATTATTAATATTTTTTGAATTCACATTTACCTGTATCGAGGTGCAGTTGTAACTTTTGTAGTATAGGTATACACCAAATATTTCTATTCCTTTGATATATTGTGTTTAAATACCTAATTTATAGCCAACCCCGCAACTGCCCTATAGAAATGCATTTGCTTCTCGTTGCTTCCGTATTAACGTATTAAGAAAAAAACTAAAGAAACACGAGACATATATTACTTGATAATGGAACTAGTCAAGTTAACTCGAGTTAACTACCACATTTTGGCGTAAAAATTAATAATCATACGTTTACAAAATACACTAAAACACGTGTTTCCCAAAGCAACACATTCCAATGACTTTAAACTCTTGTTGCACAACAAAATGTTGCATAACAGAAGGTCATTTTATTTCCATGCAACATTTTGTTAGCCAACAAATCATCGGCTCAACGCCACAAAAACAATAAGTGCATATACCTGTTACGTTAAGTTTTACATAAATATTTGCTTATCTGACCTTATGGTGCCGATGACCATGACATTGAACAATGTCGAAACAAGTGTCTTGGGAAAAAAGCTAGAAGAGATTACCAATGGGGTATAAAATTACGAGGTAAACCTTACCTAGATGTTATAGGTTACTCTTTATAATTTCGTTAACCAAAAGATGCACGTATCGTTCCCATCCACAACTTAATGGTGGTATCTTACCTTAACTTACAGCTACCTATCCTAATGTCCTAACTAGTTTCTTTAATAAATTAATATATACACGTAATGCCCAATCCAATTGTATCTAGTAATCATAATTTCAGTTAATAAAAAATTACTCAAAAATCACTAAAATTACTTCTATAAATCTGAACGATCAAACTTCAAACTACTGAATCCGGTCTATACCACGATTCTACTCAATTCAAAAAAACAGTAAGTCTGTAGAGGAAGCTAGTAGATTGATTTTCATACAATCAGAAAATTCTATTGAAACTTTAACTAGCCACACCAACAGCCAATCGCTCGATGAACTCAAAAACTCCGTTACTTTCAAAAGATTATCACCAAAGGAATGTCAAAGGATTTCATTAAGTTTTTAAAACTAGAATTCTATTTGCCTACATTGTTATGCAACTTTCATTGCACCTACCATCAGTAACTACCCTAAATTATTCTATACTACCCCTATACTCTATTTTAATTGCTACAATATGTACAAGTAAATGTCTTAAAACTGCGTATCAGCATATAGGTTGACATGACAACTTCGCTGCCGAATGCGAGTGGGGATTTGGTTTTTTGAATTTCTTTGTAATGAAGAAGAATAAAAACAACTGCCGTGGGTGGACATAGAAAATGTGTTTTCCCAAAATAGTTTGGAGAGTCAATAATCCCGTAGCAAGAATTATTCATTGAAATTCCTATGCCACCCGCTAGTTGTCAATACTGGGAAAACAAATAAATCTGCTTTTATTTGCAGGCTATTTTAAATTTATTGTATCTTTTTATGCTGAACAAAAACAGAAAAATAGAAGGTAGAAAGCGCTTAGTCAAGAATGAGATAACTCCAAGCTGAAAGTCTAGACAACATAACAAAATCTATTTCTATGCAGAAAAGTCACGTGCCTGTCTTTTAACACGAAGTCTCAAGTGCAAAAAAGGAATTAATGAAATGATTTCGATCGAGTTATCACAATGGACGGTTTATTTGCAAAAATTTAGTCCGGAGTCATGTAAGACCCTTACTTACTTACGTCACACATCTCGTTGCATGTGTATATAATAAACCGAGAAAATTGTCTTTATAAAAAGTTACCTCAAGTACCTTCTGCTTCCTGAAGGCTTAGGTCTTTCAATAAAAAGTGGAATATAAGGAATTAAAAATAAATGGAAACTTTTTCCATAAGTCCTTCCAGATTACAAATAATGAAAGCTCGGCTCGCATTGCGTTTAGAGTTTTAATAGTCTTACGGCGCATCGTCCGGAATTAGTCAGCATGGCAGAAGTATCTCGGGAATATTTACTCGTTTTTCCAAACGACTCGGTCCAAGACAATGCTTGAAGCTAAGGACGCGCTCGTGATTTTGCTTTAATCCTCGTATAATGGTTGCGTAATTCTTCCGGCTCGAATCCGGCAACTCTTTCGCCGATCGTCTAATGTATTCAGCGAGAGAGCAC